AATATTTTCCCATAAATAATTAAAAATGCATCGAACCTTAAAAATAGAAATATCTCAAAAACGGCTAACTATAACGAAAATTCACAAGAGAGCTTTTTTATGTTGAAAAGCGCGAAGAATCAGTTTTTTTATTCAAAAAGCAAAAAATTGCAGTAAGAAAAAATTTTCGGTCATTTTAATACACTACAGGTACAGTAGAGAGCGCCCTCTAGCGGCTACAGTAAAACTATGCCCATGGTTCGTTTTGTCGTACCAAAAAACCCTTGTATACCTATTTTTACTGTTATACATCAAATATTGTTCGAAATATTTAAAAAAAAACTATTTTAGAAAGTAAACATTTCGGAAGCCACGCATTTTTCGACCCAGGTTTATATAGACTTTATGCACTAATTTGAAAAGTTTTATCGAATCTTAAGATTATGCAACAATAAACTGAAACACTCTGTATATTTATGTATTCAGAAATTTTGTTTGACTAAAAACATAAATTGTCTGAACTTCGCATTCCGTCTTATAACATAATTTACTATATACTATTTTGTTTGAAACTACTGTGCAATTTTCACTCATCTAAGTTACTAATGTGGATCTTGGTGAATCTGCCTTTATTGTACACAAATTAACACATGACATGTAGCATAATAATATATGCTATCACAAAAGTAATTTCTATTTGAGAAAATTTAAGACACAGTTTGAATACAACTTTATAAGTAAATTGTTGTTAATACTGTTGTTCCATATAGTTAACCTGTGATTATATGCTAATTCTATTTCATTCAAGTGTTAACTAACCTTTCGGATACCTTGGTATTATTTTTTTAATCTCTTAATAAAATATAGAAGGAATATCTTCTGGAAGAAGATGTTTCAGAAGAAGTCCCTTCTATACTTTATATTCTAATTTTTTCGAATTTTGTATTTTGAGGAAGACTACCGAGGTAGCCGAATCGTTCGTAAGCTTTTCTATCTTCAGTTCTGTGGTCTTATTTATTGGCCAGTTGAATGGAATGGAATAAACGGCTGATGTAACAATTACGTCAATTCTTCAATATAAATGTTACGTAATTTCTGAATAAATATGAAATAACGAAACTGTCACTGATATGTGAACATTATATTCTTTTAGAAGTAAAGTAACTACATTTACATAAATACTACTGCATTGAGATGTAAACTGTTCTGGCAATTTTTACCAGTTTTCAAGTTTATCCTTACCTTATTTGGATTTAGTCTTTCCTTCATTTTTACATAACTAATAGCAAATAAATATAAAATTGAGGTAACATTTATATATCTGTGTTTAGTGGGAACGGTCCCGATGAAGACCGCATAACGGTAGATTCGACTTGTAGCTTGGATATTTCGAAACCTCCAATGCCAAACCATGATTTAGGGGGGAAGCAACGAGCCAGTGTAGCCACTCCTTCGTTCGTACTGTGTAATACTAGTAGTAACATACTAGTTATTGTTTAGTTGGAATGGGTTAAAGGCTCAGTTTGTAAGTTATTATTGCCGCTACTCTGTTGTGAAGCTTATTTTAAACTGTCCTGTTCCAAGTCCTACATCAACTTTGTAATCATTGGGGCTATGCTTCTCTGCCTTTCCTCACGGTGTATCACGATTTGACGCTTAATGATTCCCATCTTCGTTATGCGTGCTTTGCATATTTATTGGCAGTTCTCACAATGTTATCGAATGGTTTACGTATCTTCTTATGCATGCATTTCCATTTTCAGATTTAGTCTCTGTCTGGTAGTGCTATTACTATAAGTATTTCCGATTACTTGAATAAGTTTCTGCTCTTGATATCACGAAAGCGTGAACTTCATCCTATAGCCCCTCCCCCCCCAGAGAAGCTTTGCAGGTGCGTGGCTGACACTCTCTCTCGTCGCAAGATATTCGTCGTAATTAACGGGCTCTCCGACATTGTTTTTCTTACATTTCAACGACTTGCTTTCCTGAACGATCAAACCGATCCAAAGCTTTGCTGATCACAGAACTCTACATGCGGGAACTTTGAGTAGCAGGCCGGTGAGATGGAGAAAAGAGGACTGGCAGCGACTTCCTCTCTGACGAGAGACCTGTAGTTTACTGCTTGGGATCGCAAAAATCAGGTACAGCTTTATACTCCTAAAACACAGTACTGTACCTTGACTAAGAAGAGGTGCATAGCGCTCATCCGGTTTCGACGTATAACCGAGTGTCTTTCGGTTGGTAAGAATCCAGATCACCGAGAACTACCATGCTCGATACTGCTCAGAGGAAGGCTGTCTGACTAAGTCTTCTCTAACGGACAGTCTCAGAACCCTTTCGCACCGACGGGATATCGGCATATAGCTCTCTTCTACCGCTACGCCAGCGGACTTTGCTCATCAGAGCGCGATGTGCACGCCAGACAGACCCACCTGACTTTGACTCCCCATCCTAAACGTGGCGAATTTCGTACATCCAGAACTGGCCGATGCGATCGCTCCTTTGTCCCGAGAATCACGGGATTGTGGAACAATCTACAAGAGGAAGCTTTTTCCAGTTCTACTAACCTTAGGCAGTTCTAAAATAGGATTAACAAAGTGTCTACTAAGTTATCCCCATTGGTGGCAATGGTCACATAATTCCTTGTTCTGAAAAAAAAATACAATTTTCATTTATAATATACCTATAAAACATATATGAAAATCGAATATTTAAATATTAGTCATTGCCCCTCGCCAGATCCGCCCTTGATGCAGGTCTGAGTTATGGTCGGGCAAGGTTCGCGGAGAGCAGCGCAACAGCAGCAGAAGAAGCCAAAGCGGCAGCCAGGGAGGAAGTGATTTAGAGAGGCCGAGCTGAGTCTGTCAGTTTTTTCTAAGATTATTTAATGAGTTCGGAGACAGCAGGCAGCAGCGAGGACATAGGGTCCGATCGGCTCGCTGGACCAACCATGAGATTTAGTGGTCACGATCCCAACTGACGATGCTGCCCCGCCGGTATCCTTTGGCTTCCTATATGCGACCATCCAACTTCTGCACTCTACTCCGCTTTAGATTTTATCAATGCAGAGCAAGAAACAATTAAACTTACAGGCATTATCTAAGAAATTCGATCTGGGTTCCGAGCGGTGAGATGCGGAGTAAAGTAACTATATCACAAAGTAACTATAAAAATGCATTAAGGGCCAATTTCACCAACAACAGTCCGTTATTCTCCACCTATAGGGTAACAGCCCGTCAAATACAGCGAATGAGCTTCAAGTTCCAATTAACAAATTTTAGCAACCAATAGCTATGAAATGTTGAAAACAAAATACTGTCAAAGTATGAGATGACATCTTGTCATTGAAACATCATCAGCTTATTGAATATTAAGAAATTACATATAATTCAGTCAACATTTAAACAACTGTTTGATGTTTGAATAAAATTCATGTTTTAATTACCATTGTTGATTTTTTATTCATGATAATATTATCTTCTTCAATCGATATGCGATTTTACGAATTCAAGATCATCTAATGGGTGTTTTTTCCTATAAACCTGTTACTGATAGCCATTAAGCACCTACTTGATGACTGGCTCTACCAAAATGTTCATAGATATTGCTCGTTCCCAAACATTCATTCATTTACTTGCCGTTCATCAGAACCATTATGGCACCTTACATTGATATTCCCACAAAACCATTCTGGTTTTTTAATATCCATACATCTATAAAGTTGAATATTTTTCGTTGTTCAGGAACTTAACAAACATGCACACTAAATTCGCAGCGATCAACAAATACTCAAACATATGTCGTAAACCTCCCGGCAAACTTAAAACCAGCAGAAAAACTAGAAATTTGCAATAACTTTCTTGTTGCACTGAGTACATATTATGGGGTTATATTTATATTAGACGTTATTTGAATCGCGAAACATATACACTGAATAACAGCTGATTATCTCCTGATATTTTACAACTAACCATATCGACAAGTGACGCATAGTTCTGTGGGATCCGTAAACACTTCGTCCCAGTGGTAGTGGTGTTGGTAATCATTACTTTCGAGTACTCGTTACTAATCGTTACTCTTCTACAAAGTAATCGTTTGAAGCGTATAAATGCAAACCCAGACATTAGACGTATAAGTGGTTTTGAGTAAAATGCAAATAACCTCTCAAAATCTTAGGTTTAGTCCAATCAAGTTCATGTTTTGACTAAAATATCCAATATTTTGATAATGATGAGTACTGCTTCATAAAAATATATTTGACTTAATAATAAAAAGATATTTCGGTTAAAAAATTATACATGTCTTGTTTTGCACCTGAGACTTGCAAATATCTGGTTATGTTTCTTAACAAACACTAGATTGTGTATATACCTATATGAAGTTAGTAGCAGTAACTATGATAATGATAATGAAGGAAGGTAATAGAATCAAGAAATCTTCAAAGAAAATGATTTTAATGGGCAAATGAACACAACTAAATTCTCAAGTCTGTATCTTCAGTGTCTGATAAAATCACCATCTCTTCTTCAGGATCTCTAGCTTCCGCCTGACTAACATTTTCCAATTCAAAAGCGTTTTTGAAGAAATGAAGCCTTCCATCAGTTACTCAATCCACCCCATAATGTTGTACTAGCAGAGCTGATATGCTTTTTATTTTATCTGGTTTCAGACTTCTACCTACACACACTGTTAGCAACTGGATTTGTGTAATTTTCTTCCCTTTTTTGCAAATGCTCTTTGGCAATGGAAGATTCTTTTGGCAGTCAAAGGAAAATGTGGCAATTTTGGGATTATCTTCTGTCAATAAGTCGTAAAACGCCTTACTACGGAGCTTATGTATACGCTGGTGCATCATTTCACTAATTCTTTCTTGTGGCTCGGTGATTTTTTTCATTTTTTCTGTAAATTGTAGAAATGTTGCACATAAGTATATCAGCTTTTGGTGATCCAAAGCCAATTTTGTATTCTCGTCTAAAAATATTTCGGAAAAACCACTGCTTAACCTTTAGATGCATGCCCACTCAAGAGTTGTATAACTTCCACAGTTTGACAATGTTCAGGTCACAGGGTAAGTACCGCCTAATAACTGTTTTACTCCTGGCATAATGAGTCTCGCAGCAGTTTATGGATTCGATAAAATTTCTTATGGCCAGTTTCTTATGAATAGATTTTTGTGAAACTCTGTCTCCTCCTCTTCTTTCTGCTGGCAAAATTCTTGTTTCGTGGTACTGTTTCACTATCCTTTCAGTACGATTTTTACCAACACCCAGTATTGACACGAATGTCGGTTTACAAACAGGAATATCTCCTCTTGAGGTGTGGATACTGTACTTCACACTGACCGTTTTTGGTTTATTTATAACGTTTTCTTTAATCTTGGTACCACCACTTTTTGGATTTTTGGTAACGCAATGCTTCAGTACAAACATGTCTTGATAGTACTTGGAAGCCTTACAATAAAACCTTTCATTGGAATTTCTTATTTGTCATAGTTAACGAGGAGCATTGATGAACTCTTGTTTTATGCCGACATGTGGGAAATTCAGGAAGGCGTTGCCGAGAATACCTAAAAAAATTGAGTGATATATTCTAGCTAGTTATCAAAGAAACTTACAAAGTGAACATACCTTTTTATCTTGTCCTTCTCTCGTTTCCATTCTTGCTTATTTACTAACCTTTTTCGACCTTTACCAGCTGGACTTGGTTCAATAGTAATATTGCTATTCATGATTTATTCTCAAGTACTTCAATTTATTTATGAACACAATAATTCAGTTAGTATATCACTTTAACAACGTAGAACGTACGTACGATCTCGAATTTGAAGTTAAAAAGAAAAATACCAGCGTAGCAGCACGGTACGGCAGCTGCCGCCAGATCACATGACTAAGCAGTCACGCTCGGATTGGCTTAAAGGCAAATGTCTGCTTTTGCACGTAACCGGCGTACACAAATATCTGCTTTTGCATCTAAAACAAAATTTCACGTGCGAATAACGTCTTAAGATGTCTGCCTATGGACTTGAGGGTCAGAAAATCGTAATCCCGGACATTTTTGCATGTGGAGTCCATATATAACAGATTTTTTTCAAAAATTTCAAATGTCTGGGTTTGCATTTATACGCTTCGTTTATTGTATTGGTTACTTTGATTACTATGAGTAGTATGAGTATAACGATTTAGCAATGTGCGTCGTGTGATTAATGTCGAATTTAAACAAGTTGAATGGAACCGAATCTTGTAAGAAAATAGACGACCTTAAAATTTGCAAAATGTGATAAGCTTAGTTTATTCAAGACTATCGTGGATGGAGTGTCATATGACTCATATGAGCCTACAAACTGAAAATACTTTGTATTTACTAGAAATACTTAAAAAATGTCTTTTAGTCAGAAAGATGATCTGTATATGGGTTTAAGGAAATTCGAAATGGCATGTGACTTTTCGAAGCATTTCAATTAAGCATAATATACCAGTATAAAAAATTCTACGTTGAGCTTGATCTACACATACTATTGGTGGTCATACTGAATTAAAATTTTTTTAGCAAAAAAAGTGCATGGAAACACGAGTCAAATTGACATAACTTTTATTATTGTGGTTTTCCTGAACGGTGGTGTTACCTTGTTGTCGCTTTTCTGCCTCATAATACTGCCGATGTTGATGTTCTTTCATGTTCCCAAGATCACAACAATAAAAGCGAATTTGTGTCACGGTGTAAATAGGTAAATTTCAGATTTAAAAACAATTACCAAATTCTATGTCCGCCAATAAAAAAAATGAGTTACCAGGTTTCCATCTGAATGTGGGCAACCCTGGTGCATGAGCGGTAGTGCTACAGTCTAACCAGCGTTACCACTCAACGATCAACGATTGTACAGGTACCGGGTAGGGATACGGAAAACAGAGTAATCAAAGTAATCATTTCGTGCTTGGATTGGTATCCGTTACTTCGGGTATCTATGAGTAACGAGTACTCCAGTTTCGTATGATTACTCTTTCAACACCACTACCCAATGGAGCAAACTCTGCCAACTGTCGAAATAAACTTTATTAACTAAAAGTCTTATTTTTGTTTTACTGTGCCTGCTTAGATATTCAAATACGGCCAGGAATTAATAGCGCCTGGCTATTTTAGGCCTTCAATAATCCTTATTTTAGATCTCTCCTTATTTTGTTTTTCCACGCATTCACGGTAGAAAGAAAAATATGTTATCGAATATCGATACCGTATACCGTGCAGCAGGCACGCCCATCACTACTTTGACAGATTGCAGAATGATGTCAAGATGACAATCGTAATGTGTTTTTGCTTTTGTCTGAAATAGGCAAGTAGGCTTTGTGTATTCATTTTTATTTTTGTAGCGTTTCCAGAATTTCATATTTCGAAACGATGTCAAGGGCCGGCAGGGGAAAATCTTTCTCTATCTTCGCCATCCCTATATTGTATCCCCACCAGTCACCAGTCAAAAACCTTAACCACCAATATTTTATCACAATTTATAATTATTTTTAGCTCTTATTTTTCAGTAATTACTAATAATATTAGGTCTATGTCTACAGTATTGCATTATGCACCTCGGAGATGTAGGGATTAACATGTTCTACACATATCGGTGTTTTAGGATGGGGACGACCATACTGTTTTGATTGCTTTGAAGAAATTCATTAACCCATGAATTTATAACAAATGATTACTATTATGATGTAAAGAGAGATGAAGAATTGGTTGGAATACATTTTATATTCTATTTTCTTGCAAATCCGTATGTGTAGCTATAATGATCTCGTAATATACACACAGTATATTGAACAAATTTCGAGATTGCCATGAATTAAGAAACGACGAAACCTGCTGCCAAATTTAACAGCTAGATAATCCACCTATTAATTCTCCCATTCCCATTCGCTGAGGGGATAACGGATTGTTAAATGTAAACCTATAACATATATCAAAATACATGAAAGTTGTCCTGTTTTTTCTGTGCAAAAGCATCATGTTGGAATCAAAAAGTGGTCTTGTTTATAATACACTCGAATTTTTACGATTTTATTCAACATTTTAAAAGAAATCACTGATATTCTGACACCTTTGACAGCTTCCGTCAAATTGCATTTCGATAAGGTATTTTCCTATTGGTCCATAATAATAATGTTGGTGAAATCGGCCTTTAACGTATCGATATGGCCGAAAAATACGTGCAAATATATCGTTTATTACAGCAGAGCTTTGCCGACATCGACATAGCCTTCCAGCCTAATCTGATGTTGCTTAATGTTCAATGCTTAAATATTGACAAAGTCAATCAGTTACAGGTTATGGTATCTGACTATAAAGGAGTAAAGTTCCTCTGCCTAACTGAAACTTGGACTACAGCCAAATCACTTAATGATTTCGTTATTGAGAATTTTCAGTTAGTTAGCTCATATTTTAGATCGTCTTACAAAGGCGGTGGCCTAGCGATTTATTGTAGAGATGATGTTGTTGCAAAACCTAATGTTTTCACTGGATAAGAATATTGAGTGCTGTGCCATTCAATTCTCAAATGGTGGTATACGTAGCATCATCATTCTGTGCTATAGATCTCCGTCGGGAGATATGAAAATATTCCAGGACAATCTGGATAGGGCTCTAAATTTTGGTTTCAGGCCAAATATAAATATAATTCTTTGTGGCGACTTCAATGTAGATTCTTTCAATCATAACGACGATAATGAGCTCCTGTTGAATGCACTGTCTGAGTTTGACTTGCATCCACAGGTAGGTTGGCCAACAAGGATTGAGCAGTACTTATAGAAATTATGGAATATCCTCAAGCTGAGGATGCGGTAAAAGAAACAGTTAAAAGGGTTTTTGATACCCGGTCTGTTCAAAACTTCGTTTCAGACTTAAGTAAGGAAAACTGGTCACCGCTTTATAGTTACCGGAATATAAATAATGCATTTGAATACTTCTTTCGAGTGTTTGACTATCACTTCCAAAAACATTTTCCACTGCGTAAATGTCTGATTAAAAACAACAGCATGAATTGGGGCGATGAAAATGTAATGTTATCGAGTTCATGCTTGCGTGAACATCATATGTAGTCAACAACTATCCCTGGATACAGACAACATTATCTAGATGCAAAAAGACAACATCAGAAGCTTGTCAGAAAAACAAAAAAAGGGCATATTACCAACAAAAAATATCCAATTCGCACAACGTGATGAAGGCTGACTGGAATGTGGTTTCTGATAGGTTTCTGAACGGAAGAAATAGAATATTAAAGAACATTGTACTGTATGATTAACCATTAGAAATCCACAAAAAAATTCTAATTATATTAACAACCATTTTAAATAGGATCCTTTGAATATTATTCAAAAAATATCTAAATACACAAATCCAGTTAAAAATGATCATACCTGCGACCAAAAATCTTTTATGTTTTTATACCCGTTCTTGGAAAAAGAATTCTATAAACTAAATAATGATAAAAAACAAGCGTTCTCCAGGCACCGATGAAGTTCCGAATTTCTTAGTCAAGAAAATCTTGTTGTACATAACCAAACCTTTTGTTTTTCTAGTTAATTTATCATTCTGCACTGGTGTATTTCCAAAAAACCTAAAAACAGGAAAAGTAACTCCAATTGATAAGAAAGGAGATACTTCTTCGGTCAGAAATTACAGACCGGTGATTCCATGCTATTTTTCCAAGATTCTTGAGTTTTTCTTTTTTGAGAACAACTTCTGCTGTTCTTGGAAAGCAACGACACTCTATCATCCAATCAACATATTTTCCGTTTTTTAGAATCAACCATGACCGCATGTCGTTCATTTATCAACAGGTTAGTCAACTGTATTGAGGCAGGAGAATGCCCTGTTGGGATGTTTTTTGACCTCAGTAGAGCGTTCGACTGTGTCAGTCATGACATACTATTAGCCAAACTAACAGAGACCATGGAATTGGTGGTTCAGCTTATGTGTGGATAAAATCGTACTTACAGAATAGGTCACGATACGTGGAAATAACACACAACAACGCAGGTCATCTGAAGCAGGTCAAATCGGGTATGGTTAAAATAAATATAGGCGTACCACAAGGATGTATATTGGGGCCAGTGCTGTTGTCCCTTTATATAAATAACCTGGAGCAATGTTTCTCTGAAGCACATTTCAAGTTATATGCAGACGATGCCTCCATCATTATATCAAACAAAGACGAGGCTGATTTAATAAATAAATGTAACACCTTAGTGTACATCATCAGTAGCTGGTTTGAAGAAAATCAGTTACTTCTTAGTAGCGAGAAGACCACAGTTATAAGGTTCCATGAGGTTCAGCACTGCAGAGTGATGCACTAAGTTTTTAGGGCCTCACTTAGACTAATGTCTCAACTTTAAAGGACATTGCGATTATCTGTCATCAAAACTGAATTCACAAGCATACTTATTCAATAACCTGAGATCTGTTTTCACAGAGGATCAGCTATTGATGTATCATGTTCAGGTTGAGTCTAGCATGCTGTATGCTTTGTCCTTCTGGGGTTCATCGGTGAACGCTTTTAAGATACTCTTAAGTCAAAAACGGCTGGTGAGGTGTATAGTGGGAGTAAGCAGCACTCATAGTTGCAGAGAATTATTTAAGAGATTGAAAATAATGACACTGCCTTCGCTTTTTCTCTACCCTATGGCTATCTATACCTTTTTAACACGTTCACTGCCACATTGGTCCTATAGTACCAACACTCATGTTTCCCTAGCAGACCACATTGGTCCAATAGGGCCAACATATTTTGCCTTATCAGGCTATGTTGGTCCCATGGAGTCAACCCATTTTCTCATAGCTGCTGGGCCGTTGGTGCTCATTTACCTATGTACGCCTGCAGAAATGGACCAACATGGCCTAGAAGCTATACGACGCACATATAATTTCTTAGATTTTTCCATAATGAGGAATGTGGCCCCGATGGGACCAACGTCTTCTTTATATGATGGCCCACTAGTGCTCAATGTAAAATATATGTTTGGCGTAGTGGCACATGTTAAAAAATATGTCTGGCAGCGAACGTGTTAAACAAAGATGATTTCACCTTGAATAGTCATATACATCAAATCGGCACTCGCAGACAAAGCGACATTCATATACCTTTTGTCCGTTGCAAGCAGCAGATCACTATGTATTTTAGGACCTACAATTTTGAACAACCTGCCTGACTCCATAAAAAGGATTACCTCAATAGGCCAATTCAAATCTGAGCTAAAACGCTGCTTTATCAGTAACTGTTTCTATGCAATTAGCGACTTTGTCGGTCTTTAAATATCGTTTTTTATCACTAATTTTAACTTGGTTGTTGTTGGATGTTATTTGTTTGTTTTTTATTTATTTACTTTGTACATATTTACTTATTGTATTTTTTTGACGAAACCTATACATGTTCATGCATGTCTGAAGGAAAATAAATTTATTATTATTATTATTAATATACTAAGTGACATATAAATCCGAACACCCAGTTTAAATGGTTTTATTTTAATAAAATTTTGTATAAGTACTTAATGAAGCATAATAAGTAAATGATAATAATTTCAAAATGATTGCACTGCTTTAAAGCCCTTTGACCTTTAATAATGTGTGGATGCACCCTGATGTGCTACGCATTCTCCAACGCGCCTAGGCATGCTTCTGATCAGGTGGTCAATGTCCTCCTGTGGTATCTCATTCCAGGCAACCACCAACTCCTCTCGAAGTGCTTCTAGAGTCTGAGGAGGACGTTGCAAATTGAGCAATCTCCTACCCATCATATCCCACACGTGCTCAATTGGGGATAAGTCGGGAGATCTTGGTGGCCATGGTAACAATGTGACATCATTATGTTGAAAGAAGTCTATTGTGACTCTTGCAACATGTGGTCAGGCATTATCTTGTTGGAAAGTTGGATCTGCCAGGGTGTCAAGATAGGGTAAAATATGGGGTTCTAGAACTTCGTGGATATAACGCTGCGCGTTCATGTTACCTCTGATGAAGATTAAAGGTGACCTGGAACCATAAGCTATAGCACCCCAAACCATAACTCCAACAGTGTGATGAACATGTCTTTCAACAAAAAACTGTGGATTCCTCCTTTCGCCACGTCGCCTTCTAACCCTGGCACGACCATCGTGCATGCCTAAACAAAATTGAGACTCGTCACTAAAGACAATACTGTTCCATTCCTGATCCCCGAGTGACCGTTGTCTGCACCACTCAAGGCGATTACGTCGGTGTTCTCGAGTTAAAGGGAAGACCCAGTGTGGCCGGTATGAAAACAAGCCAAAACTTCTCATTCGTCGGTAAACACTTCGCATGCCAATAGGTCTTCCGTGTTCTGCAAACCATTCATGTGCAATGGACCTGGTAGTGGAGAAACGGTCCCTTAAGGCCAATAATCTTAGGCGGCGATCTTCACGGTCTGTTGTTCTACGGCGGCGTCCAGTGCCCCTTGCTCTTTGCGTACGGCCTTCTCGAAGCCATGCCTGACAACACCTAACCACAGTGTCTACACTTCTTTGCACTCTAACTGCAATTGCCTGAAAAGAAAGTCCAGCTTCCCGAAGTCCCACTATACGGACCCTATCAAACTCACTAAGTTGACGAAATCGTACAGGTCTCCGTACTCTAGGCATCGTAACCGATCGTAAAGGATGTCAAGAACCAAAATCCGCCAACGTTGATTCTTTACTGCGGCTGAAATATTCATTTTTAGAGCGTTAGTAAATTAAAAAAAAGCAGTATAAAAACCGGAATGTCCAACTGATAAGGCTGAAAATTTTTTCACTTGTTACTTACAGTAAGATAAATACCTTCACCAACTTTTATTAAAATAAAACCATTTAAACTGGGTGTTCGGATTTATATGTCACTTAGTATATTAATATCTAAGGCTCAATTTTGCTTTGACCCGCAGGGACCAAAATTAAAATAAGCGGCTTCTAAAATATGTCTCAAACTATTTAATTGAAAAATGCATTATGAATCACCTGGTTTAATTACAAAAACCTAATCTTCAATTTGTTCCTAGGACCAAGATTTGCTCCGAAGCAGATCGCCCAATCAAAATAATCATATCCACGTTGTGAATAATGGAACTAACGTACCTAGATACCTCAGAAATTTGATAAAAGTGATATAACATGTACTGATGATGCTTTTTTTGACTTTGCCGAGGAAAATTGCTCTTTCAACTTATTGAATCTGATTTCTCGGATCACTGTCCCCTTTGAATTAACTTGTACTGCATTACAACCTACCATAACTAAAATGAGAAGGCGATATAGGAGAAAACACTCTAGATAGCTTTTATTATAACTTGATGTAGGAATTTTGGCATGAAGTATACGAAGCAGAAGGAGTGCATCCAAATACGAATGCTTCTTCATTGTATTATTCTATTACTTTGGGAAAAACTTTCCATGCCAAAGAACTGGACAACAAGAAAATAATGATAATTGGATTACACCTGAGATTAAACAACAGTCACAAAAGCTACGGGATTTATGTTTTCTTTACAAGCAGACTCGATATGATGACCTGCACAGAAGGTACAAAAATTAAAGAAAAGCATATAGAAAATACATTGACGATACTAGAAAAGTATATAACAATAATATCATCACAAACTCACACAGTAAAACAAAAAGTGCTTGGTCTTTTGTTAACAAAATGGGCGGAAAAACAAGAACTTTAACGACAATGGAGTTAAATAATCACCCTAGTCCACAAGAGACAGTTAACACATTTATAGACCATTTTCCTGAAATAAACCATAACACTGG